TATGGAGACTGTGAAGTGAGCCTTTTAATAATGAGGAAAGAGGTGCATTAAACATCGAACTATGCATCTGCCGTACAAGCTTCGACACAGTCGAAACGGACTGTTTTAAAATGCAGATTTGTTTGACTTTCTTCACTGTCATCGTTTCACCGGAACCTGCCCACTGATCAAGTGACAACAAATGCCTCTTTTAGTCTCCAACGGCGATTTTGTTCGTGGCATGGTATGCAAACACACGGAACGGACAGGTGCTTGCAATTTTCCTATTTTCTCACCAACAACGGTGAAAACAAAGTTTTTTTTTGTAAACCCAGATGTACACTGGCTGGAGGTATTTAACCAAATGAGAAGTGGCATGCCCTTGAGCCACTGAAATACTTGCATGCGAAAGTCACATGGCTGTGAGTGTAGGACTATAATCAATGTCAGAAACGACAAAATTACATGAACCAACCGATAATCATGGAATACTGTTCATCAGACGACGATGAAAGAAATAATTCATTTCAGGTATCCTTCAACCCTGACAACATCTTCAAAACCTATACCTATTGAAATAGCTATGGAAGGCGGTATCGATTCATTGCTTGCTTGAATTCCAGCTAACGGGTCTTTGGTTCTCTATCCATAGTTCAAGGCAACAATTTAAAAGGACGATGTAAATTCGTTTTCGCTGATGCGTTTCACACCATCGTTATCATTGTTATAAGATCACTGATTATGATGCTGGTTTGCTTGGTCGAAACGCGTCTAAGTTTACATGCTCTTTTTAAGTTGTTGCCTGGAACCATGGACGAAGAGCCAAAAATCATTAACCCAGCAGTGCGTTTGTGTCTAGGGCTTGACAAAGGCTACGGGATGAAGCGACTTGCCAAGTGAATCGCTTCTTTTGTTATGAATCATGAAGCAGCCACGGTGCCTTTTCAAATTTTACTTTTTTAGCTGCCCACTTCTACTTCGTACTTGCAATATTTTGCACAATAACAGATGGGACAGGAAATGAATGGCGCAGCATGACTATAAGTTCTCAAATGAAAATGTCAACGAAGATTTAAATGTCATCTTAAATCATCAGTTAAAAGTCATTTGTTCTTCATTGGCTGCAAAGACCACGATAGGATGAATCGATTATTAAGCTTCGTTAAAAGTTCCAATTAATTCTTGGTAGCCGAAATCGGTATCATTGGCAAGTAAGGCTAACGAGAAATTTTTCTGTCATCGCATCATTTACCCACTACCCTGAAGACTACTGAGCAATGAGTTAGGTGTTCCGCTAATCAAAATGGAACTACGCAAACGAACCGTCTTTGAGGTTCAATACAATCAGCCTCAGCCACATATAGACTACCTAAATGAAGATTCCATTATACTGATTTCGTAAATCTCGGCTTCGGTTCAATATTTGATCAGTGTGTCAAAATGAATATTTATTTCAACTCTGGTCCAGAGGGCTACAGAAAGCAGGTATTGCTAATTGGTAGCGACGGACTAGTGTCAAACTCTTAACATTTACAATTATTTGCACATGACCCGTAGTATTATTAGAAAGTCAATTTTTAAAATAAGTTTTCATATTCTTCCAGCTTGAATGCTTTGTTAAGCTGCCAACTCGTTTGCTTCTGCGCATGCATTTTCATTTAACCTTTCCTATGCTGACACTGAAACGGTTCGAAACTAAAAGGGCTTATTGCTATTATGCACTATAATGCAGAAACTGATTAAACCTGAGATATAGCGTGAGAGCCTGTGTTGCCGTCGTCTTTCCTTCTTGGTTTACTATACAATTTGTTTACTTCATTATCCATTACTGAAGTAAACAACTGCTGTCCTGACGGTCGTTAATTCACGCACCAGATACGTATGTCACAGAGGAGTTCGTCATTGACACTCTTGGTTACGATCACATGACATCTGAATCTCGATCTCCTCTCAATTATCGCCTGTTTCATATCTGATCATGCTTCTTTCTTAGCTGCTGAATCAGCCGAATGGCACTTGGCCCACAGCACTTGCGTTCATTGTACAGAATGAAATTGTTCGCATATTCGAAGACCACAGACTCATAGGGCCAAAAATCGAAGAATGTCGATGGGCGGGCTTCTGGCGGCCGACCGACCAACAGCCGTGAATGCCTGATCGACCGGCTAAGAACAAACGATCGCTAAAACGGAAATTAGCGCTGCTGACGACGATGATCAGAAGAAGTAAACGAAATCTCGTTTTCAAGCCATTAGCACTAATGACCTCGACGTTGTTCGATAATGGCGTGCTTGAGATTCGTCTCTTCGTGGCGTGACAGAAACGATGGAGATCGGTGACACGATTCTCAAGACTCGTTTAGCCGAAGTTTAAGAGAGTTTTCATATAATCAATTTCGTTTCCTGGAGGAATCAGTTAATTGCCTTGAAAGAAGATTCAAACAATGCAACAGAGAAGAAATTAAAGTAATTTCTTCTCACCTTCTGTATTCAGCATCCTCCTATATTCATTGCGAGGTGTTGATGGCGCAGGATTTTATGCGAATGAACTTCAACTATAAAACCAGTGAGAAAAACAAGAAACGATAAGTGCGACCAAGAGGAGGTCACGCACAAAAGCATAGGTGTTTGATCTTCTTGGGAACTGGATGTACAACTAACTATTCTTAAGGATAATTCACTGCTGAGCAAGTTTAAATCAAATTTTTATGACATTAGTTTTTTATCAGCTTTCATAGAACATTATTACTCTAGAGTTGTTGGAGAAGCACTGTCAAGAGATTTTTCGAATCACCCGTGTCTTGCGACAACGGAGCAAGCTCTGAGTCAGGTTTTGACGCGTAACTACTCCTGCTATCTTTGTATTCATTGTATGCTTAATATTTTTCATTGCCGAATATATCCTTTGGCCTGTAGTATTGGAATGGACGCAGAAGTTGTTCAGAGGAAAGTGCGGGAATGCCTGTCTAACAAAAGCAGGTTAATAGCTTTGCGCCTAAAATTAGACAATTGATAATTAGGATAAATTACGACAGTATAAATTCACTTTCGGTCTGATGTCATTCTTCTTAAGCTAAGTCTACTTTTCTGATTATGGTCCCGCTCTTTCCTGGGCTAACCATACCTTAGATACCAAAGTTATTCCAGTTCATTGAAACGATAATGTTTTCGATATGTATTTGTAGTCGTTGGAACCTGTGTGTAGGTCAGTGAATGGGGAGTGTTCGGATGAACTGAATCAAACATATCTTGATGAGCTTTCATGATCTTTTTATCGCACCTGTGATCTTCTCGGATCATATTTCTTCCGTGGTAATCCCTGCAAAACAGAACCTCAACGGAAGCACAGAATATCCTTGATTTTCGCAGTCAACCCAAAGTTTGTGCACCCCAGCTCTAAATTAAACAAGCAGCCACAAAGTAAATCGATTGCAGTTCTGCCACGTATACCTCAGGCATACAAAAAAATAGGTCTGCAGCCTGGTGCATCAGCGGCACAACACTACAAGTGCTTAACTATTCAAGAAACGTTTTCGTGTCTTTAGAGCATCGACTGCGAACACCACAATAAGGTCCATCCAAATTGCCAAGACTGGCCGTAGTTCAGCATCCAGACCAAAAGCACTTCTTTTTGGTACTGTCCAACACTCATTTAAAGCGAACATTCCTCAAAGCAGGTGACCGCGTCTATACTCAACAGAAACCAGTCTAGACTCGGTATTCTGATAAAGAAATCCCTTCCGATTTTGGCAAAGAAAGACAAAGAATGTGCAATGAGTACTCCTGTTTCGTCGTGACGAGCAAACGTTTGGTGTTAATGAAATCTTGATTCGAACATCCGAACTGACCTCACGAGTAACCCAGCCTGTCAATCACTATTCCTTGCGCTGTTCACACTTTCTTCCAAAAGGGCGCATCGATGAAGAACAATGTGACGTGTTCAAAATGGTGGTCAAAATAAATCCATTCGACTATTCTCCGTCATTAAACGGAACATATTATGTTTTGAGGACTTCTTGCTCACATCATCTTTTATGTTATACATTGCTTTTCTCCTCAAGAGTAAAAAGAGTGTAAGAAGACATTCTGATTGATAACAGCACATGAACTAAAGAAGTTCGTTGGATCAACATGGTTTCAAATCGCAGAAAACTGAAGTTTGTGCAAAGCCTTGGAGACGCCTTCACCTATCTGTGGTTCGAACAAGGCTCATTCTGATGATGATGACGATGAACGCAGCTGGTTGCCCACTTTAACAGCTGTATCTCGGTGATGATGGCAGCGAGACCCGTGTAGCTTAAAAGCGTACGTACGTCAGCTCTGTTGAGTGCCCTGAACTATGGATCATCAAAGATGGACAAGCGTTTCCATCGATCAGCTACGTTTTTTCAAGTTCATGCAGAGTAGCCCCACATGTTTCATAACGGTTCAAGTCAGAGGTAGCAGACGTCGGGGGACATCATCATCAGTTGTCCTCTTTGATTCCGAACCTGAACAACGTGATGCATTACTTCAGGCCTCGATTTCCTGCCTTGTTCGTCTGTATGGGGTCAATGAAGTTAAGGTGCATCCATCACAACACTGTCTGTCAAGCTCTGTGTTTGCCTGTTTCTTGGTCTC